CTAAAAAGCCTCTGCACAGTGAGAGAAACTTGCCTCATCAAAATGAAAAGGCACCCTACTGAATGGGACAAGTATTTGTACATCATACATTCAACAAGTTGTTAATATAGTATGTGTATATACACATAATTTATAAATTTCAATAAGAAAACAATGCAATTTAAAAGTGGCAGAGGATCTGAACAGATAATTCAAAAAAAGGCATGCAAAAGGCCAATAGGCACATGAAAAAAATGTTCATCATCTCATTATTAGGAAACATGAATCAAAGAACAATTGAGACATTACCTCACACTTATAAGAATGGTTATTATCCAAAAGACAAGAAACAACAAAAAAAAACAACAAGTGTTGGAGAGGATGTGGAGAGAAGAGAACCTTTATACACTATTGGTTTGAAGGAAAATTGATACAGTCATTATGGAGAGGCCTCAAAAAACTAAAAATGTAAATTCCATACAATCCAGTTATCCCACTTCTTGGTATTTACTCAAAAATATAAAAAATCCTAAATCAAAGTGATACATGCACACCTGTGGTTACTGCAGCAATATTTACAATAGCCAAGGACAGCAAACAACCTAAATGTCTATTGACTAAAAACCAGGGCAAAGAAAGATGTGGTCTATATACACAATGGAATACTATTCAGCTATAAAAAAGATGCAATCCTGCCATTTGAAACAACATGGAAGGACCTAGAAGGTATATGCTTAGTGAAATAAGCAGATGGAGAAAGACAAACACTGTGTTATTTCACTCATATGTTGTACATAAAGAAAACAAGCAGATGAACTAATTAAAACAAAAATTGAAACAAAAAACAACCACTGATAGACCAATTAGTGGTTGCCGAGAAGGGATGGAAGATGGAGTGGGTAAATCAGGACAAATGAGATCATTACATGGTGAAGGACAGACTTGGAATTTTAGTGGTGAATTTAATGCAGAATATATACACATTGATTTTCAGTGATGCACACCTGACACTTAAATAATCTTATAATGCACTGTTACTTCCATTTTAAAAATTTAAAATAAGATAAAAAAGAAATTCAGATATGCAAGTAAGAACAAGGAAAGCAAAAATCAGTTCTTAGAGCTGTATAGTCCTATAGAAACCAAATATTTAACATTTTCCATCTTACCAATGGCATTTTTCTAAACTAAGGCTTACTAAGAAAAGCAAAGATGATTTAAATCTCTGGAAAAATTACTGAGCACTACTGACAGGAATAAAGATATAACTAAAGATAAATTCAGTGAAAACATAACACAAAGAAATTCACAAATACAGACAAACTGGATGGTTTTAAAATAAAATACTGGTTACTTTAAAATGAAACAAAACCTGGATAGATTAATAACCAAAAGTAAAATGGGAACAACAGTCATGGATTTACCACCACCAAAGCCAACAAACCAACTCATGTAAGGAAAAAGGTGTAATTAGTCATTAGAAATAGATGATTATATCATTATAAAAACTCTTCTGCTACATGAAAATACAGGGAAAACCTGCTAATCAATTCTATGAAGGCAGGATAATTTCATACAAAAACCATAGAAATTAACATATACAACACACACAGACAGAGCAATGTGGACTGGGAGAATCCTAAAAGCTTATTGACACATCAAATCCATATGTGCAATAAAATAATAATTCTGTGTCACAATTAAATGGCATTCATATCAAGAGTTTGAGATAAAAAGTTAAAGGAAAAAGTACAGCTTTAACAGATGTCAAAATGACTTTTAAAATATGAAATAAAACCTTCTTGATCCAAAAAGGAACATTTACCCCAAATCAAGTTCAACCATCATAGTTAAAGATGAAATACTAGGAGTGCTTCCACAAAGGCAAGGATGACCTGCATACTACTGTTAATTTTAAGAGTGTTTACTGCATGTTCTTGGAGATATTAGTCATAGAAATCATATATAAACATTTTATACATAATACCTAATGAGAATGAAGGGTGGACAATGAGGTATAAAAAGTGCTTCAAAAAATTATGGATAAAGACCTTGAAACTGGAGGGATTACTTAATTCATAAGTTAAAGAAAAATGGAAAAAAGGCTAGTTACTCAGCAGTATGAAAGCATTTTTGTTAAAGCAGTTTACAAATAAATAAAAGCTCTTTCTCTAATATTTGTTGGCTTTTTGATGGACGCTTCATTTTCTTATATACTCTTTACTATCGATTTTTAAAACAGGAGGTTTCCTTAAGATTTGCTCTTGAATTTCGTGCTCTAAATTAAGATAAATAACAGATTTGATTCTCTATGAATTCAAAATATCAGAGTAAAGCGATAAAACACTTACTGGCATCACTGATGATTTGAAGGGAAACATGAAATGAAACAGCAAAACACTGGGCGAAAAAAATCACTCCTGTTGCAGTACCATCAACCCGCCATGTTTTTCTGTTCTAGCCTTAAAAACGGGAATAACATTCACATAACGCAAGGTGGCGCTGCTGGCTAAAAAGAGGGGGGAAATTTGCACAAAGGGTGTTGCAGATTCCAGCATTAAAAGGAAAGCCGACCAGACAAGAGTAAAGAAAACCGTGCTGACAGGAGTTGGGGGAAATTGGGGGATCCCTCCCCACAAGCACTGGTATTATAAGCTCATTTCTAAGGACTCAGTTGCCATTTCTGAGAGCTGCCTGAGGACCAGTGTTTTTAAAGGAGAATGGAGTCTAGAGCGGAGCGTGCTGGGCAGAAAAGGCAAGTCCTATTTCTTTGTGTATTTCTGGGAGTGTCTTGGGCTGTTGCGGAGCCGCTTCGGTATTTTGTGGCTGAGGAAACGGAGAGAGGCACCTTTCTGGCCAACCTAGCAAAAGATCTGGGGTTAGGGGCAGGGGAACTGTCAGCCCGGGGAGCTAGAATTGTTTCAGATCAGAACATACTATTTTTACTGCTCAATCCACTTACTGGTGATTTACTGCTGAATGAGAAATTAGACCGAGAGGAGCTGTGCGGCCCCACAGAGCCGTGTGTGCTGCCTTTCCAGTTGTTACTGGAAAAGCCTTTTCAGATTTTCCGTGCTGAATTGTGGGTCAGCGACATCAACGATCATTCGCCAGTATTTCTGGACAGAGAGATTCCCTTGAAAATATTAGAAAGTACCATTCCAGGAGCAGCATTTCTCCTAGAGAGTGCACAAGATGCGGATGTTGGAATCAACAATCTGAGAAACTACACAATCAGCCCCAACACCTATTTCCATATCAATGTCCATGACGGTGGTGAGGGGAGTATCTACCCTGAGTTGGTACTGGATAGAGCTCTGGACCGAGAAGAGGTGCCTGAGCTCAGTTTAACCCTCACGGCTTTGGATGGCGGCTCTCCGCCTAGATCCGGGACCGCTCTCGTACGGATCGAGGTTGTGGACACAAATGACAACGTCCCTGAATTTGTTCAGTTGCTCTACAAAGTGCAGGTGGCTGAGAATAGCCCGGTTGGCTCACTAGTTGTCACCGTGTCAGCTAGAGATTTAGATGCCGGAAGTAATGGGGAAATAGTTTATGCATTTTTTTATGCAACTGACAAAATTCTCAAAACGTTTCAAATAGATCCAACATCTGGCACAATTCATCTTAAAGCTGAACTGAACTATGAGGCAATACAAAACTATACATTAACTGTTCAGGCCAAAGATGGTGGAGGACTTTCTGGAAAATGTACTGTGGTGGTTCAAGTAACAGATGTTAATGATAATCCACCGGAACTGCTCATGTCATCACTTACTAGCCCAATTTCAGAAAATTCTCCAAAGACTGTAGTAGCTGTCTTTAGGATTAGAGACAGAGATTCAGGGAATAATGCAAAGTTGGTGTGCTCCATCCAAGATGATCTCCCCTTTGTCCTGAAGCAATCTGTAGAGAATTACTACACCCTTGAAACAGAGAGACCGCTGGACAGAGAAAAGCAGGCCGAGTACAACATCACGATCAGCGTCACGGACATGGGGACCCCCAGGCTGAGGACCCAGCACCACATCACCGTGCTGGTGTCCGACGTGAACGACAACGCCCCCGCCTTCAGCCAGAGCGCCTACACGCTGCTGGTGCGCGAGAACAACAGCCCCGCGCTGCACATCGGCAGCGTGCGCGCCACCGACGCCGACGCGGGCTCCAACGCGCAGCTCACCTACTCGCTGCTGCCCGCCGGCCGCGCGCACCCGCCGCCCGCCGCGCTCGTGGCCGTCAACGCCGACACCGGCCAGCTGTTCGCGCTGCGCTCGCTCGACTACGAGGCGCTGCGCGCCTTCGACTTCCTGGTGGGCGCCACGGACCGCGGCTCGCCCGCGCTCAGCGGCCAGGCGCGGGTGCGCGTCGTGGTGCAGGACGCCAACGACAACGCGCCCTCCGTGCTCTACCCGCCGCCCAACGCCTCGGCGCCCTGCCCCGAGCTGGTGCCGCGCGCGGCCGACGCGGGCTACCTGGTCACCAAGGTGGTGGCGGTGGACGGCGACGCGGGCCAGAACGCCTGGCTGTCGTTCCAGCTGCTCAGGGCCACGGAGCCCGGGCTGTTCGGCGTGTGGGCGCACAACGGCGAGGTGCGCACCGCCAGGCCGCTGGGCGAGCGCGACGCGCCCAAGCACCGGCTGGTCGTGCTGGTCAAGGACAACGGCGAGCCGCCGCTGTCGGCCAGCGTCACGCTGCACGTGCTGCTGGTCGACGGCTTCTCGCAGCCCTACCTGCCGCCGCCCGACGCGCCGCCGCCCGCCGCGCAGGCCGACCGCCTCACCGCGTCCCTGGTGGTGGCGCTGGCCGCCGTGTCGTCGCTCTTCCTCCTGTGCGCGCTCGCCTTCGCGGCCGCGCGCCTGTGCGGGAGGCGCGGGGCCGGCGCGCGCGCGGGCTCGCTGGGGCCCGACGGCCCCTTCCCGGGCCGCCTGGTGGACGTGGGCGGCGCCGGGACGCTGTCCCACAGCTACCAGTATGAGGTGTGCCTGACGGGAGGCACTGGAACCAGCGACTTCAAATTCTTAAAACCAGTTATTCCTAACCTGCAGTACCAGTGCACAGGAAGAGGTACAGAAGAAAATCCCTCAATCCGAAATGACTTGAGTTTCTGATAAAGAATGAAATATATAAATGCTGTCATCTATCTGTGAGTATATTCCTATTAAGAAATTTATCCTGAATTACCTCTAGAGGAGTGCTTTTACTTTTTTTTCAAATATTCTTAAAGTCATAGAACAAATACCTTTGCTTTAGAAAAGGATCCAACTTTAGCCCTAAGGATCCTCTACACAGGAAGCCATGCATGTGTCATGTCTTTTTTCATGCATGATGTGTAGGCTGTTACATGATAGATCCTGATCGAGATGTTTACATTATTTTTCATTGCCATCAAACTTTTTTTTTCTACTTTCCCCCTGATTTATTAGAGTGCTGTATAAGTGATTCCACTCTACATTTTAGGAGCACAGATTGTAGAGTCTCTTTAATTACAGTTTAAAAAAATGTGCTTACTATTCTCCATTCACTATTTAACACTGAATCTTAAAAGGGGAGAAATTTCAGAAATGAGCAAGTAGATGTTGGGCAGGTTCACAAAGTCACCACTAATAAATGGCAGAGCTGCATCTCTCCACCTTCTGTCCAACTCTGGAATCTTGCTATGACACTATGCACCATCATGTATCACCTGACAAGTTCCACCCTTATTAGGTAGGAACTTTTTTCTCATATTCATCTTCTTGCTCAGTCTTTTCTATATTTGAATTAACAGTGTATGTATAGTGTATCTATGTAATACACTACACAGCTTTATTTCCTTATAAACCAATAATCCAGCTTTTCTGAATCAACTGTTCAACTATTATTATTAAAATTTCTGATCTAAAGCTCAAGTAAAAATGTTGAAAGATGAATCCATGCCTTTTCCTTGTTATCTGAACACATGACCTTCATTTCACAGGCAAGATAATGGCTCTGCATAGAAATATTACATAATTTTGTTTGGTTCAGTTTAGTATTCTCTTCACATTAGTTTTGTGCAGTTGTCCCTATATGCCTTTACAATGCCTTTTCCTCTTTAATTTGAAAGTTTACTTTTTTAAGATTTATTTTTATTTATTTATACAAGCACTGGGTACAGTCAGAAGTGCAGGAGGGTGAGAGAATTCACCAGATCCAGAGCAGGGAGCAGAATAGGCAGAAGGATCGAAGTACACTACTGAGGGGGAGAAGCGGGAGGCATGAAAGGTCTGCGCGCCATGTGGGACCCTCACCCAGCGGCCAGGGATTGAACCGGAGCTGCCATGTGGGACCCTCGCCAGGCGCCCGGGGATCCAACCGGCGCAGCAGAGGCTGCTGGCAGCTTTGCAACACAGTGCTCAACTGCTTGTCCATCGGGGAGGCCCTGAAAGTTTATTTTTTAAAAGCTTCTTGTTCAATATAATGCAGTAATGAATGGGGAAGATATAAGAATAGTTTTACATGTAAAATTAATGAGAAACAAATTATCATTAAATTAATTAGAGATTCTGGGGAAATTAAGGTTCGTTACATTAATTCATAGCTGCTCTTTCTTTTTATTTATTTATTTATTTGTTTGTTTTTATACAAGCACTGGGTACAGTCAGAAGCGCGGGAGGGTGGGAGAATTCACCAGAGCCAGAGTGGGGAGCAGAGCAGGCAGAAGGACTGAAGTACACTGCTGAGGGGAGCAGCGGGCGGCAGGAGGGGTCTGTGCGCGCCATGTGGGACCCTCCTCCGGTGGCCGGGGAGCAGCCAGGGATCGAACCGGCGCCGCAGAGGCCGCGGGCAGCATCGCAACCCAGCGCTCAACCGCTGTGCCACCGGGGAGGCCCCATAGCTGCTCTTTCTTTAGTTAGCAAATATCCAGATAATTTTTTGCATAGCTCTATTCTTAATATGTGAGATTGGTAAGTCTTAAAGTAGTGCTAGTATTATGCATTACTAATGGCATATAGTCCAAGGACAAAAAAAACAATAAATACCTCACAGCCCAAAATACATAAGGTGAAGACAATATTATAGTTTTTCCAACACAGCAATGGCACAGAAAAAAAGGAGGAAGGACCTTTACACAATCAAAGAAATTAAAAACATACCAACCAAATGCAAGCATGGTGGATCTTGTTTGAAACAACCACAATGACTTTGAAAGAATGGAGAATCTGATAATAGATATTAAATAATATTAACTAAAATTTCTAGGTGTGGAATTGGCATGGTATTTTTAAGTCATTTAAAGTTCAAAATGTATAATGAAGTATTCGTGGGTAAAAATTTAGTTTGTCTGGGATATAAAAATACTGGGGAAATAAGGTGATTATGCAAAATATTGGTAATTATGAAACTAGTTGTGAGTACTCAGAGGCTTATTTCCTGCTTTGGATTTGAATTTTTTCAAATAATGTAACTTAAAATTCACTCATAAAAAGTGGAGTTAACTAAAATAGCATATCAGAATTACCACTGTTATCAGACATTATATTAGAAAAAATTCTCTAAGCCTTCTCTTTCACAATTTTGACTTGATAACTTCTGAGATAATGTGGCTCATGAATTCATATGCATTCTACTGCTGACTGAATCTTGGGTGTTTTCTAATCATGGCAATGGACTTATGTAAACGGAGCTACCTGGTGCCATCAAATGACATGACTCCTCTCTCTCTCTCTCTCTCTCTCTCTCTCTCTGTCTCTCTCTGTCTCTCTGTGTGTATGTATAAGATTAATTTCTCTCTGCCTCAATTTCCTTATCTCTAAGGTGGGCAGTTCACAGCAACCCTATCTGATAGGTACACCTATCTAGTAGGTATTACTATCTCCATTTTACAGAGCAGGAAACTGAGGGAGAGGTTAAATAATTTGTCCAAGGTATATAGTTACTGATTATTCCCATATATCGAGGCAATAAAAGTATATAATTCTAAACATTGTCAGTGATACCTAATTGTATGTTTTTAATTTCTTGTATATATCCTTCCCAGCAAGCTGGTCCATATTTTCTTTTTGCCACAAATTCAATTTGCATTATTGAAAGCAAAAAAGGCCCTACTCATGTTATTTCTCTTGTGTGGTTCTCATACGTTCCTCTTGTTTTGCCTTGGCCCAAAGGTCCTGTGATAGTGAAAGTAGTATTGTAACCTTACTTATCTATAGAAAGAATTAGGAATAGTGCATCCATCTTAATCCCAGAAAACGTAAAACCCTATGAAGACACATGGTGGCGCTGCAGGATAAGAAGGTAAAAAACCAGAACTGAGGCTGCTGCTCCAACAGCAGGCAAAATTTACCAACAAAGCCAGGGAGCCCACAGGAACCTTGGATGTCACAGAGCGAGTGGATCCTCTAAAAAGGACTACTCACCGGAATATACCCAAGATCTTTTGTATATTAAGCATCGTCTCAGATTTGGAGGTCTTTACGGTTCAGGGGAACCACCCTCGCTGGAGTCTATAGAAAGGAAGAACAATGGAGGCCAGCGGGAAGCTCATTTGCAGCCAAAGGCAAGTTGTTTTCTTCTTTCTTCTATTGGGCTTAGCTCTGGCGGGCACGGAATTTAGGCGCTATTCTGTAGTGGAGGAAACCGAGGGGAGTTCCTTTATAACCAATTTAGCAAAGGACCTGGGTCTCGGGCAGAGAGAACTCTCCAGGAGAGGGGCTAGGGTGATTTCCAAAGGCAACAAATTGCATTTGCAGCTCAATCTGGAGACAGGGGCTCTGATGCTAAATGAGAAACTGGACCGTGAGGAATTGTGTGGTCACACAGAGCCCTGTGTGCTGCGTTTCCAGGTATTGCTAGAAAATCCCTTGGCATTTTTTCAAGCTGAGTTACAAGTAATAGACATAAATGACCATGCTCCCGTGTTCCTAGACAAAGATATGCTGCTAAAAATATCAGAGAGCAGCCCTCCCGGGACTACATTCCCTCTGAAGAACGCTCAGGATGTGGATGTAGGCCAAAATAATATAGAGAACTATATAATAAGTCCCAACTCCTATTTTCGGGTCCTCACCCGCAAACGCAGCGATGGCAAGAAGTATCCTGAGCTGGTGCTGGACAAAGCACTGGATCGTGAGGAGGAACCTGAAGTCAGGTTAACCCTCACAGCTCAGGATGGCGGCTCTCCACCCCAGTCTGGTACTACTCAGGTCTACATCGAAGTCATGGATATCAATGATAATGCCCCTGAATTTGAGCAACCTTTCTATAGGGTGCAGATCCCTGAGGACAGTCCCCTAGGATTCTTGATCACCACGGTCTCTGCTACAGATAAAGATATAGGAATCAATGGAGAGATTTCCTATTCCCTTTTCCAGGCTTCAAAGGAGATTAGCAAAACCTTTGAGATAGATGCTATGACAGGAGAAATTCAACTGAAAAAACAACTTGACTTCGAAACAACTCAATCCTATGAGATCAATGTTGAGGCCAGAGATGCTGGAAGCTTGTCAGGAAAATGCACTGTTCTGACTCAAGTCGTCGATGTGAATGACAATGCCCCAGAAGTCATCATGTCCTCATTTACCAGACAGATCCCTGAGAACTCTCCTGAGACTGTGGTTGCAGTGTTCAGTGTTTCAGATCTTGATTCGGAAGAAAATGGGAAAATAAGTTGCTTCATTCAGGAAGATCTACCGTTTATCCTAAAATCTTCCTTGGAAAACTTTTACACCCTGGTAACAGAGAAGCCGCTGGACAGAGAGCTAACATCGGAGTACAACATCACGATCACCGTCACGGACTTGGGCACCCCCAGGCTGAGGACCCAGCACCACATCACCGTGCTGGTGTCCGACGTGAACGACAACGCCCCCGCCTTCAGCCAGAGCGCCTACACGCTGCTGGTGCGCGAGAACAACAGCCCCGCGCTGCACATCGGCAGCGTGCGCGCCACCGACGCCGACGCGGGCTCCAACGCGCAGCTCACCTACTCGCTGCTGCCCGCCGGCCGCGCGCACCCGCCGCCCGCCGCGCTCGTGGCCGTCAACGCCGACACCGGCCAGCTGTTCGCGCTGCGCTCGCTCGACTACGAGGCGCTGCGCGCCTTCGACTTCCTGGTGGGCGCCACGGACCGCGGCTCGCCCGCGCTCAGCGGCCAGGCGCGGGTGCGCGTCGTGGTGCAGGACGCCAACGACAACGCGCCCTCCGTGCTCTACCCGCCGCCCAACGCCTCGGCGCCCTGCCCCGAGCTGGTGCCGCGCGCGGCCGACGCGGGCTACCTGGTCACCAAGGTGGTGGCGGTGGACGGCGACGCGGGCCAGAACGCCTGGCTGTCGTTCCAGCTGCTCAGGGCCACGGAGCCCGGGCTGTTCGGCGTGTGGGCGCACAACGGCGAGGTGCGCACCGCCAGGCCGCTGGGCGAGCGCGACGCGCCCAAGCACCGGCTGGTCGTGCTGGTCAAGGACAACGGCGAGCCGCCGCTGTCGGCCAGCGTCACGCTGCACGTGCTGCTGGTCGACGGCTTCTCGCAGCCCTACCTGCCGCCGCCCGACGCGCCGCCGCCCGCCGCGCAGGCCGACCGCCTCACCGCGTCCCTGGTGGTGGCGCTGGCCGCCGTGTCGTCGCTCTTCCTCCTGTGCGCGCTCGCCTTCGCGGCCGCGCGCCTGTGCGGGAGGCGCGGGGCCGGCGCGCGCGCGGGCTCGCTGGGGCCCGACGGCCCCTTCCCGGGCCGCCTGGTGGACGTGGGCGGCGCCGGGACGCTGTCCACAGCTACCAGTATGAGGTGTGCCTGACGGGGGCTCAGGGACCAACGAGTTCAAGTTCTTAAAACCGGTTATCCCTAATCTGCAATAGTAGAGCACAACAAGTGGAGTGAAAGAAAACCTGCTGCCAATCAGGTTAGTTTGGATTTAATTACCAATAAGAATCTAATAGACACCCTTTAATATTTTCTTGTTGGTTAACTACATTGTTAACACAACCATCAATAAGCTGCTTTTAATTTTCTCCTTTTGGTTCATTCCCAATATCTATTTTCTAAAAGATTTTTTTTATTTATGCATACAGGAACAGGGGTGTAGGCCAGAGATGCAGACAGTGAGAGGATTCATCTGAAACTGATGAGGAGCAAAACAGGGGGATCCACTGAAATACACTGTTGAGGGGAGCAGTGGGTGAGACAGGAGATGTCTGCTGGGCCAAATGGGTTTAGTTCTCTGGCTGGGGATGAACTCGTGCTGCAGTGGGTGGCAACAGCTTGATGCACTGAGACTTTAACTTCTGCGCCACCAAGGAGCCCCCAAGATCTATTATGTTCTGGGGGGTTGTGGGGGAGACCCTCACTGGCAGCCGGGGAATGAAAGGGGCGCTGCCGTCTCGCAGCCCAGCACTCAACCGCTGCACCACCAGGGGAGCCCCCCCAAGATCTATTTTTAAGATTAACTTCACAAGTTTCCTTTTCCTGATATATTAGCCCAATGAAGCATTTCATTAAAATGTTTTCCACTTTGTCTTTTTATATTCATTGCTCACATTTTTCATTTTAGCTTTTTCCCTTAGAAAATGATTAAAATAATCCTCTGCATGTGAGAGATTTATGCATATAGTCACTACTTGATTTCTGTTTTTCTTTTCAAAACCTGTCATTCTTGATTTTTATTATAGCATGATTCTTTTTATAATTAAAAAATTTACATAGAAGAACTGGGGTGTTGGCCAGAGGTGTGTGGGGAGGTTAGAGTATTTATCAGAGACAGTGGCGAGCAGACCAGGGGGATCTACTTAAATACACTGCTCAGGGGAGCACCAGGCAAGACAGAGAGGTCTGCTATTTCTTAAGTGAGTTAGCTCCCTGGTGGGGATCAAACTCAGGCTGTAGGAGTGATTGCACTGAGACTTAATCCCTTGGCCACCATGGAGGCCCTAGAGATATCCATAAATTATTTCTTTAAAACGTGCTATTTCCTTTTTTTGTTATGGTGATTTATATTTGTTATGTGATATGATAGCTATCTGATCAATCTTATCTTAAAATAAGAAGTACTGTAAAATACTGAGTGTGTAAATGAAGTTTGAAAACCAAAAAAGAGAAAAATTTAAGCATCTTATGGCATCAAACAGAAATAGTTAACAATATATTGAGTGCTTTTTCTTTTACTATTTAATCTGTATTTTAAAAACCAGAGGATTTTAATGACAAACAATATAGTCCCATTCAATTGAATAAACAGTAGTAGTCATTAAGCAAATATTTATATGATATGCCTTTTATATTTAACAATAAATATACTTTGGCTAGGGCTAGCCTTTTCTCTGAACAATAATCTTCAATTTAATGTTTCCCTTGTTTATTATGAGAAAAATAGGGCTTGTTTCTAGATATTAGGCCAAAAACATTCTGTATGAGGCAGATGCTATAATTTTGTTCTGACCTTCAGCAGTGTTAGGATAGGCATATAGTGTGGTCTGTTCTCTACCTTCCTTTATTTGGTATAGAGAAAACAGACTCTACCATAAGTAAGAGGGAACTTAAAATGGAGGTCAAGCCCTTCTTTAATTCTGCCATTAATTTTAAAGCTAATGTAAGGGGGAAATACAAATGAAAGAAAGTGAACAGAAATTGCAAAGAATAAGTAATAACCACAATTCTCAAATGGCAAGGATAAAAGTACTGAAAATTGTTTCATAGTCTACTCACTAGAGTTTATATATGCATGCTTTAATACAGCTAGAATTTGGTGTCTGACTTGCCAGCCACAGATGATGAAGGCATACTAAAGTAGCTCACATGTTGTAGAAGGGACAGACTGGCATCAAACAGGAGGCAATAATATTTACAGAGCAATTATAAGTTTTAGTGGGGCTCAGAGGAAGGGAAGCCTGAATGCTTCCTTCTGGACTATATAGTGATAATTCTATTTAAGCAATGTAATTGCATTTTTTTTAATGGGAAGGAACTTTAATACAACTAGGAAACAATACAGGTAAGGCAAAAAGTCTAGTTTCTAAATGAAGCACCCAAAGTTACCCGTCCCCTCGTGGGTAAAAGTCCATTCAAATGGGATTGGCCCAGAGCAAACCCCAAAGCCTGCCACAAGTCTAAAACATCTTCCAGTGGGGACCCACAGCAAAGGGTCAAAAATAACCAGACAAGCCCGGAAGAAAAAAAACAAAATCAACATCAAAATAAAAGCTGCCATTGTCACCTCCCCACGGGTCTCACCCACATCTGTGTCACCTAGTCCACGACCAAAAGACAAGCGCAGTTTCTTCACGTGTCTCTAGGATCCACGCGCCTCCTCCAGGTCTCCTGGCTCCATCCTGCTTCCTTCCTCAGTCTCTTCTGCAGCTTCTCCTCTTCCTGCTCAGCTCCACCCTCCCTTGGGTGGGGCAGGGAACCTCCCCCTTTCCTGGGGACCACCCTGTTGCATTAACATTGTTACTTTTCACTCAATGACCAACATTTGAGTGACACAGGAGTTGTTTTCAAGGATCAAATAAGTTTTTGGAGACAAAAGACAGTAATTCCAGCATGGTTAGAGAAATGCCTTAAATTTTAGCAAGTTTTAACATTACACATAAGTCTATTAAAGTCATTTCTCTCATACTAATGAAAATACATCTATCTTAAGGAGGATATAAGTCAAAAGTATACTTATATGATTCTGTTGTGGTCACTTTACAAAAAAATATAACTTTACATAAAACTAAATGGTTTTTCATTATCTGTTATAAGATTACTTTTTTTTTCTTTTTTTTTTTTTAATAAATTTTATTGTTATATTCCCCATACAATTGCAATCCCCCCATTCTGACCCCAATCCCTCCCCTCCCACCCCGCCCCCCTAAAAGTGTCTCTGGTTCATAGTTTTTTGTTGATTTTGATTTTCACTTTCTTATAGTTATTCATTTTCCTGGTCCCTTATTTAAGTTTCTAGATTCCTGCTATGAGTGAGACCATCCGGTATTTTTCTTTTTCTTTTTGGCTTATTTCGCTGAGCATGATCCCTTCCAGCGCCATCCATGTTGCTGCAAATTGCATGTGTTTATCTTTTTGAATGCTGAGTAATATTCCATGGTATATATGTACCACATCTTCTTGATCCAGTCATCTATTTTTGGGCATTTGGGTTGTTTCCAAAGCTTAGCTATTGTAAACAGTGCTGCTATAAAACATAGGGGTGCAGGTGTTCTTTGAATTGATGTTTCTGTGTCCTTTGGGTAAATACCTAGGAGTGGAATTGCTGGATCATATGGAAGCTCTATGTTTAGTAGGTCCAGAAATCTCCATACAGCTTTCCACAGTGGTTGGACCAGTTTGCACTCCCACCAACAGTGCAGAAGAGTTCCTTTTTCTCCACACCCTCGCCAACATTTGTTGTTGCTAGTTTTTTTAATATGTGCCATTCTCACTGGTGTAAGATGGTATCTCATGGTAGTTTTGATTTGCATTTCCCTGATGACAAGTGATGTTGAACATTTTTTCATATGCCTGTTGGCCATTTGCATTTCCTCTTCAGAGAAGTTTCTTTTTAGCTCTTCTGCCCATTTTTTGACTGGATTATTTTCTTTGTTGTTGCTGAGTCTCATCAGCTCTTTGCAGATTTTTGTGATCAGTCCTTTATCATTAGTGTTGGGTGCAAAAATGTTCTCCCAGTTGGTGGGGTTTCTCTTTGTTTTTGTTATTGTCTCTTTTGCTGTGCAAAAGCTCTTTAATTTGATGTAGTCCCAGCTGTTTATCTTTGCCTTCACTATCACTGCTTTGGGTGATGTGTCTGTAAAGATGTCTTTGATGTGCAAATCACGTAGTGTTTCGCCTATATTTCCTTCTATATATTTTATGTTTCAGGTCTTATGTCTAGTTCTTTAATCCATTTTGAGTTGATTTTGTGTATGGTGTGAGGTGGTGGTCAAGCTTCATTCTTTTGCATGTAGCGACCCAGTTTTCCCAGCACCATTTATTGAACAAACTTTCTTTGCTCCAATGCATATTCTTTGCTCCTTTGTCAAAGATTAGTTGACCATAAATCTGTGGGTTTATTTCTGGATTTTCTATTCGATTCCATTGGTCTGTATGTCTGTTCTTGTTCCAATACCATGCAGTTTGATGATTATGGCTTTGTAGTATAGTTTGAAGTCTGGGAGTGCTGATGCCTCCATTCCCTTCTTTTTTTTTCAGGAGAGCTTTGGCTATTCGGGGTTTTTGGTGATTCCATATGAATTTCATCAATAATTGTTCTATTTCTTTGAAGAATGACATTGAAATTTTGATTGGAATAGCATTGAATCTGTATATTGCTTTTGGTAGGATGGCCATTTTAATAATGTTATTCTTCAATCCATGAGCAGGGGATGTCTCTTCCATTTCTTTGTGTCTTCTTCTATTTCTTTTAACAGTGTTTTATAGTTTTCTTTGTATAGGTCCTTAACTCTTTTTGTTAGATTTATTCCCAAATATTTGATTTTTTTTGTTTCAATAACAAAAGGGATGGTCTTTTGATTTCTTCTTCTTCAGATTATTGTTTGTGTATAGGAAGGCTACTGAATTTTGCGTTTCTTTTTTATCCTGCCACTTAACTGAACTGATTGATGAGTTGAATTAGCTTTTCTGTGGAGTTTTTGGGGTTCTCTATGTAATATCATATCGTCGCAAATAGTGATAGTTTGACTCTTCTTTTCCTATTTGGATTCCTTGGATGTTTCTCTTGTCTTATTGCCCTGGCTAGGACTTCCAGTATTATATTGAAAAGCAATGGTGAGAGTGGACATCCTTGTCTGTTCCAGATCTTAATGGAATTGCTTTCAGCTTTTCACCATTGAGATGATACTGGTTGGGCTTGTCATAGATGGCCTTTCTGATGTTGAGGTATGTTCCTTGTATCCCAAGAATTTCAGGGCTTTTATCATGAATGGGTGTTGCACTTTGTCGAAAGCTTTCTCAGCATCTATTGATATTATCATATGGTTTTTATCTTTCTTTTGTTGATGTGTTGGATAACGTTGATGATTTTCGGATGTTAAACCATATTGTGCCCCTGGAATGAATCCAACTTGGTCGTGGGTGAATTATCTTATGGATACCTGTTGGATTCTGATAGCTAAAAATTTTATTGAGGATTTTTGCATCAGTGTTCATTAGGAGATTGGCCTGTAGTTTCCTTTTTTGTGTGTCCTTGTTCGGTTTTGGTATTAGTGTAATGTTGGCTTCATAACCCGTGTTTGGTATTGTCCCTTCCTTCTCCATTTTTTGGAAGAGTTGTGAAGGATAGG